TTCTTGGCATAGGTATTTTCAGCGCTTCATCAGTTTGTTCCAATTACTATTCCTTCTACTTTGTTTCCAACTTTCCCATTCCAAAAACCAATACTGTATATACTCGAGTATAAGCTGAGTTTTTCCAGCACATTTTATAATGCAGTTTTTTTGTGGTAAAATTAGGTGTCTCGGGTGATATTCAGGTCGGCTTATACTTGAGTATATACAGTAATTATAATCACGTCTTGACGGCACTTTGGATCTATTTCAGACTGAGTTAGTTAAAATTCTTCAGTTTGCTCATCACTGGCTTTGTGGTTGACACATACATTTGAACCATAATTGTATTAACTGGATGTCCTTGTATGTGTATAAATATCATCATAAACAGCATTGTATTTCAAGATAGAACTTGATATGTTCTTTTTATCAATGAAGATGACTCATAGCAACCCGTGGACTGAGTGGAATGGCCCTATGAATTTCTGGGCCCGTTAACTCTATAATGATGAGTGGGGGGCCTCAGCTTTCTCCTGTGGAATGCCGGTGGTTTCACACAGCTGACCAGTTCTCTTCTGGCACATGGGATCGCAATGAGTCAAACTCCACTCAACAGAACTCCATCACAGCATACAATTCCAAATGTTGTGAAAGGAAAGGTGAGGATGCTGCCTTCTGGCCGTGGGAGGGGACGTCTATGGAAAATGTGAAAGGAGGACATGAAATCTCCAAGAGTAGAAAGGATTCTAGAAGGTTACCGCCAGGAATGTGTTAGGACAATAATGACTGGACCAGAATTCACAGCATCCTGACCCACGGGCCCAACAGGGGTCCTCCCATCCTACAAATATCACTGCTGTCCCAGGGCACTAGCTCATTGCCAGACTACCGTTAACTGTAGGCCTTGATTAAAAATTAAAACTGGTACAGGAGCCATTGAAAGCACCTAACTTAGCTCCTTAGACAAAAGTAGAACTTAAAAAGCTGCCCTACAAACACCAGTAAAGCCAGCTGTTTCTGATTGAGAGTCAAAAATAACTCAGTAAACATTTCCCAAACTGCCAAAACAAACAACACCCATATCTACTAAGACAAATTGAGTTTAATGCATGGAAGCCAGGCCCCTTTCTCTGGTTTGTCTGATGAGCACAATTCTTCCATGATAAAACCACTGTGCGTTGGTGGGCCAGGAATCTACTTAGCAGCACTGCTGGCTCTTTGCTTGGAATGTAGTCTTTCTACTCTTTTCATTTTATCCACACAATGATTGTGGAAGGAGCCCGGTGGTATAGTGCTGACGAGTTGTACTCCAATCCACAGAGTCAGCAGTTCAAAGCCACCAGTCGCTCCCTGGGAGAAAAATAGGCCTTTTTACGGCCCCAAAGAGTCCCCGCTTCAAAGAATCCCAGGAGCAGCTCTGCTCTGTCCTGTCGGCTTGCTGTCGGAATCGACTCGACAGCAGTGAGCTTGCGTTGTAGGCATGACACAATTATGTTCTCTTTATCATGGAGTCTTTGTTTATATCCCATTTCAATAACCTATTGTCTAGAAGTAAACACAGGAGTAATGATTTGGGATCCAGTTTCTGACAAGAGAGACTAGCACTGACACCCAAATCATGCACAACAAAAGACCAAAGAGATAAGACCTCATCAAAATAAAAAATAAAAACTCTTGTGCATTAAAGGACTTTATAAAAAAAATTAAGAGACATTCTACCGATTGGAAGGAAACTTTTAAGAATCATGTAACTATTGAAGGCTTAATCTATGGAACACATCAAGAACTCCTATAACTTAGCAACAAAAAACAAACAATCCAATCAAAAATGGGAAAAGGACTTGAACATACAGTTTCCAAAGGAAGATACACAGATGGCCAAAAGGCACATGAAAAGATGTCCAAGGTGATTAGTCATTAGGGAAATGTAATTCAGAACCACGGAAGATAGCCCATCATACTCACCAAGATGGTGATGATCCAAAAAGGAAAGAAGGAAAAAGAAAAGATGTTGGCAGGGGTGTGGCGAAACAGGAGCCCTCATGGTTGCCGGTTGGATCATAAGGTAGGGCAGCCATGGTGAAGACAGTGTGAGGCTCAGAAACTCATCATATGACCCACCCAGTATTTCCATTCCTTGGCACAACCCCCCAGACTCAAAAGCAAGAAACCAAACAGAGCTCACTGAGGCCTTATTTGCAATAGCCAAAAGTTGCAAACCACCTTCATGTCCATCAACAGATGAATGGATAAACAAAAGGGGTATAGGCACATCCTGGACTACTCCCCTAGTCAAAGGAGAAATGAAGTCCTAATGCATGCTGTACCGTGGACGAACCTAAGAAAAATGCTGAGTGAAATAAGCCACCATAGTGCATGATCCCATTCATATGGAATCCCTAGAATTTGGCAAATGTGTAGAAAAGAAAGCTCATTGGGATTTATCAAGAGCACCGGGGATGAGGAAAAGGGAAGCCATTGCCTTAGAGGCACCGAGTTCCTGTTAAGAGTACGGAAACATTCTGAAATGAACGTTCGGGATGGTTGGCACAACATGATGATGGTAATTAATATCAAATGTAATGTATTATGCATGTAAAAGTGATTGAAAGTAAGAATGTTTTGCTACAAAAACTTTGTTTATTTTAACTTTGAGATAATGGGTTTTTTGGGTTTGTTTTTTTGACACAATGCATTTAAGACTACTTGTGTGTGCTGTTAGCTGCCTAGGTGGTGCAGCGGGCTGCACACTGAGCTGCTAACCACAGGTAAGCAGTTCGAATCCACTAGCCATTCTTCAGGAGAAAGACTGAGGCTGTGTGCTTCTGTAAACATTTAAGTCTCAGAAACTGAAAGTGGTCGCTCCACTCTGTCCTATAAGGTCACTATGAGTTGGAAGGAGCTCAACGGCAGTGAGGTTGTTTCTTGGGTCTGGTTGTTACTTTGTTGTTAGATATCAACAAGTAGAGATAACACTGAAAAGAATGGACACTCCAGAACATTAATTGTATGGAACCTGTATAGAGACCAAGAGCAAGGGAATACTGAGTGGGTTAAAACCAGGAAAGGCATGTACCAGGCTGGTGTCCCCATTCCATCTCTATGCTGCATGACAAAGACTGTGGCATCAGGGCTGAAGGGAGGCTTATGAACAACCTGTGATAATCGGATGACACTACTTTGTTTGATGGAAGTGATGAGGACTTGGAACCCTTACAGACAAAGATCAAATACTACAGCCTCCAGTATGGATCACCTGTCCACAACACGAAGGCAAACATCCTCCCAACTGGACCCGTAAGCAACGCCGGGATAAACGGAGAACAGACTGAAGTTTGAGAGAGGGATGTCTTTTTACTCCGATCTACCGTCCACGCCCACGGAAGCAGCAGTCGAGAAATGAAACGACATCTTACTTTGGGCAAAAGGCCTGCAAAAACCAAATCCAATCAACCGAGAACTAAATAATGGGCCCCACGGCCACCCCCCCCCAAAAAAAAAAGACTTGCAAAGGACAATCCACAAAGACAGAAACAATCAGGCCCCCGGGCCATTGGAATGGAAACCACCGGAGGAGTTGAAAGAACATCTGACTGACTAGTTCCACGTGTCAGTTGGGAAAGAAGGAAATGGATAGTCAGAATGGCTGACAGAATGGACCCGCTGAGCCGCGTCCACCCTGGATACAGCTTCGACGCAGGAGAAGAATAACAAGCAAACAAGTCAGAAGCAGCTGTGGACCAAATGAAAACCATGAACATCCTGCCTTTCACCATCTTGTGTGAACTGCAATCACAGAAGGTGGATAATAAAGTTATACTGAGCAAAAAACCCAACCCAACCCAACCCAACCCAATCAAACTAGCTGACACGGAGTCACTTCTGACTGATAGTGATGCTTAAGGCAGGACAGAGCTGCCCCTGGGGGTGCCCGAGACTGTAGGAGTAGAATGCCTCATCTTTCTCCGGGAGAGGGACTGGTGACTTCAAGCTGCCAACCTTGCACTAACAGCCCAAAGCGTCACTGCTACACTGCCAGCAGAGCTGCAAGATACCCCACTAACGGGTTAAAAGATTGCATTCTGAGGACTACGGTGCACCTTCTCAGCCATGGTATTTCCATTCACCTCACATACACGTGTGAGTTGGACAATGAACCAGGAAGACTGTGGAAGAACGGATGCACTTGAATGAGGGTGTTGCTGAAAAAGGAACAAATCTGGCTTGGAAGAAGTACAGGCAGAATGCTCCTTAGAAGCGAGGTTGAGGAGACTTAGGCTCACATATTTTGGCTACGTTTCAAGAGAGACTGGTCCCTGGAGAAAGACATTGTGCTTCATAAAGCAGAGGGCCAGCAAAGAACGAGAGAGAGAGAGAGAGACCCCAACAAGCCGATTGTCACAGTGGCTGCACCAACAGGCTCAAGCATGCACAATGGTAAGGATGGCGCAGGACAGGGCCACAGTATTTTTCCTCTGTTGTGTACTGTGCAGCCCAACCAGGAATATTGCTACTAGCTGGAACTATCTCCACGGAAACTGACAACAACAGCATCTCTCTCTATATATATATATGTGTGTGTGTGTGTGTATAAATAAATAAAAATTTTCCTTTATTTTTATATAATTTCAAAATTATAAACTATAAGGGAGCTGTATCTTTCAGGTGACCAGTTTTGTATTCAACAATTTAAACTACCCAAATTATTATTGATTTCCTATCTTACACCATCCGCTGTCTCCCTTCACCCACATTTCTGTTATTGGGACACTTGGACATTTCAACAGGGTCTGAGAGGCAGATAGCAATGTAACAATGTCAATGTGGTTTTTTCACACTGATATCTGGTTTTTATTTTGTCTTTTTAAGGAAATAGTAAGTTAAAAAGAGACCTGCAAAAAATTTTAAAAGGTTCCCAGCAATGATGATCTCGGATATGAAAATTAAAACATAATTGTATATAAAAGGCTAAAACTCAAGGATGGCGTTCTAGATTTTCTTTGAAAATGTCTCGATAATTTGTCACATCAAGGAAGCTCAGCGTGCTGCTCCTGCTGGTGCCTCAGTCATCCTCTAAGCCGCTGTCTCTCCTCACGGGCCCCGAGCAGCGCACTGCAGACAGGAGCATGTCTTCTACTTGTTTCTTGGGGTTCTCCTCCAGGTCTGTCTTGATTGCTCCAGACTCGGCCAATTTCCACTCCAACTCATCTCTTGTCAGGTTCATGCCACCAAACACCAGAGGTCCAATAAATTGAACTTTGATATCTCCTTCAAGATAAACAAATATCGTGGGCAGATTCCTATCAGGATAATTGGGTATGCAGGTTGTTGAAATGGCTTTGATAAATTTAGCGTCTGGAAACTTCCTTGCAAGTCCACGGAAGTGTGGATTTATTAGAGCACAGAGGAGAATCCCTTGTTTGTAAAGGTGCAAGATTACCCATAGGCCCTCACCAGCTTTGGTAACTTCCTGAACATAATCCTTTCCCGAGATCTCCAAAACGTCTCCACATTGATTCTTCAGTTTAGTTGCTTTCCACTCAGCCAGTCTTTGCTGCCTGTACATTTCAAGGGCACGTTCATCCTCCTCGTTAAATGCATCTGCATTTTCCTCCAGCTCTTCCAAAGGCAGGTCTTCGTACGTTTTCACCGCAGACTGCTGAAAGAGTCGCGGCTCCTCCTCCTCGGCCTCCTTTTCTAGTTCTTTGGCACTTTCCTTTGAGGGCAACGTGCCCTTTTTGCATAAGACGTCATTCCACTCGGTGTCTGCGCTGGGGTCCTGCATCCTGTTCCCCACAAAGTCCATGTTAATGGCCTTCACTGACCATTACGCTGCAGATACATTGGACAATCTCCTTTAGGATTAAGGGATAATGGAACATTATAACTGCAACTTACTTGCAAATGAATTAGTGAAAAAATAGTAACTGAAAGAGACTTAGAAAGCCTGGTGACACGGTGGTAAAAGCACACAACTGCTAAGCAAAAGGCTGGCAGTTCACAGTCTGCATATACAGCAGTGTGTCAGGTCACCCCCAAGCAAGGTAAGGTGAGGCTTATTTGTGCTTACCTCCCCATCTCTGATGATTTTTTTTGTTACCACCTCAAAAATTGTGCTCCTGGGTACGGCTCTGAACCGGATTGACTGGATGGGAGTGAGTGAGAGCTGGCTGGCTTCTGCCTCTGTCCCAACTCTGCCCCACAGCACCTTCCTGCAGAATCAAAGCCTCTGTTCAACTGTAAATTCTTGTTCCTTAAGGAAGGTCTGCACAGACTTACTTGTGCTTACTTATGAATGTGTCGCAAACAGTCTCACATGTTTTTCGACATACCACCCATGTGAAACTGTCCCCTATTTAATGGGCAACCTTCCTTGATCATAACATTGAACATCCCGAAAATGATAGCAGCAAACTACACGCTGCCAAATTGTATGTAGTACATATTAGTAACAATGAAGTATATACAAATACACACACACACACACACACACACACACTCCTACAGGTGCACTTCAAAGACCATGAAGCCCACTGGTACACAATTCTTGCGACTTTTTTTTTTCATAGTTAAGTCTATTTTTATTTATTGTTTGTTTTCTCTTTCTTTCTTCTTTTTTTTTAAGTCATTTTATTAGGGGATCATACAACTCATCACAAGCCATACATACATCAATTGTATAAAGCACATTTGTACATTTGTACATTTGTTACCCTCATTATTTTTTTTTTTAATTATTTTATTGAGGGCTCGGAACCCAACCACTTTCAAGTTTTCTCATTGCACTTAGTGTAAAATGCCCAAACAGCATCATCGTGTCCTTTACAGTCTGATGACGCCTGTAACTCCAGCGCCCCTCCAAGTCACCTTCCGGGTCTCCCTTGCCTCTGGACCTTTGCGTGCACAGTTTGCTCTGCATGGAAAGCCCATCCCCTGTATTGCCTCATTGAAGGTGATGTCACTGACATCCCTGTTTACATGCCCCTTCCTCAGAGGAGCTGCCCAGGCGCCTCCATTCACACCTAACGCACTGCCATCGAGGCGATTCTGACTCACAGGGACCCTGTCACATGGAGCAGAACTGCCCTTGTCGGTTTCTGACACTGTAACGCTTTATGGGAGCAGAAAGCCTCGTCTGTCTTCCAAGGAGCAAGTGGCTTCTAACTGCTGACCTCGAGGTGAGCAGCCCAGCGCATAGCCCACCAGGCCACCAGGGCTCCTCCTGGTCCCTAGACCAGATCAAATGCTGCCGGAAGTTTGCTTTCAGCCTGGATAACGATGGGACATTCTATGCTGACTCATAATCTGCAAACTCCAAGGGCGACCCGATGTCCTCACCTGCTGCTCTGAGACCCTCAGCACAATTTCTGGGGGATGGAGGGGGTGGGGGGAGATAGTCACTGAGCTACAAATGAATGGGCTTTAATTATTGCACTCCAACAGGGCGTTTTCTCTGAGACACGTGCTCTCGCCAACCTTAGCTTTACCAAACACTTTCAGTTCCTCTGCAGGACAATTACCCCCCAGAGGGCGAGGGGCTGCTGCACGGATGGCCAGGGAAACAGAACTGAATGAGCACGCTAACTGTACAATGATGACCTTTGCCGACCTGAAACAACTGATGTCAGTCAGCAGGGCTGTTTCCATAGTACCAAGGAGGTGATTTGGGAAAAAGAAAATTTTAAAAAAGTTAAGTAGGGAGTAATTAATTTCACATAATAGTCACACTGGGACCGATTGTGTGTGAAATCTGATGCTAATGATGGCCTTGGTTTCTGTAATTAATTTTTATGTTCCACCCTGAGGGCTCCCCACCACCTATTTCTGGATTGTTCCTTGACTGGCACAGCTCACCCTTCCAACCTCACCTGCGCCAGTCCAGCCTGCTCCACTCAGGAGAACGTGTAGAGAAATCCAAATACAAAGGTACGTCGAAAAACACGGCGACGAACTCCGAACAAGCAAACAAAATGAGACTCACTGCCGTCGAGTCAATCTGACTCCGAGGGACCCTACAGGACTCAACCACAGGGATAAGAAGCCTTTCAGTGGCTGCTGGTTGCCAACAGCTGGCTCTGCAGTTAGCAGCCCGATGCTAACCCATGCACCACCGCTGCAAGTACATACAAACCTTTATTAAACACAAATATCAAAACATGAAGCTATCGTTTCTCATCATGTCCTCTATCTAGGTCTATCCACTTCTGCAGGTAGGGTTCCATCTCTGTAACCCTTCCCCAGAGAATTCTGTGCTCTTTGATTTACACCTCGTCAAAACGGAAGTCTTGGCATCTTTGAGGGACACCAGTCATATTCCTCTTACATGATCTGTGACTGTGGGGCAAGGTCAGGGCTGTAGGCAGGTGGGTTACAGTTTCCCAAAGAAGGTCTTTTAAGAAGCCCTTGCTTTCTCTCAAAGAATCATCAAGTGTATCATTGTGAAGGAAACAGTCCTTCGTGCAAATCCCTTAGCCCATTTCTCACAGATGCAGTTTTCAATTTTCCTAAAAGTTTTTCCTAATAAGTCCCTGGATCTTCCTGTGTCCTTTGTATCACGACTATTCTTTTGGAATGCCAGAATGCAGTTGCCATACTTGCTGAGCTCACCTCTCGTCCTGAGCTTAACTGGCTCAGCAGATCCCTTTGGAGTCACTGCTCCACTTGGATCTTCTTACTTCCCCTGAAGACCCTCTAACAAGACCCTAAAGCCAAACTCTCTGCCACCCAGTAGATGCCGATTCATAGCAACCCAATAGGACAGGGTAGACCTGACCAGGTGGGTTTCCAAGACTAGCACTCTTCGTGGGAGTCAAAACCTCGCTGTTCTCCCTCGGAGAAGCTGATGGTTTCAAACTGCAGACTTTTCGGTTAGCAGCCCAATGTGTAACCACTACATCACCAAGGCTTCTTAACAAGACGAGACCAGTGTATTACTGAGAGAGCTTGTCTGCAGCCATCCACCATTGGGAATTAATTCATACATGTCTGAACTGGACCTATAAAGTCCAAACTTTAGATTGGCAGTGCCTTCCTTTCTAAAAGAAAGGAAATTAACATAATGTACACAAGCAAGGAAGGAGCCCCGGTAGCATAGTGGTTGCAAGCTGGGCTGTTCATCACAAAATCAGCAGTTCAAAACCATCAGCTGCTCCGAGGGAGAAAGATGGAACTTTTTACTCCCATAAAGAGTTATAGTCTCAGAAACCCATAGGGGCAATTCTACCCTGTCCTATAGGGTTGCTATGAGTCAGTACTGACTCAATGGTAGTGAGTTGTTTTAGATATATACAAGTTATGTATCTATATATACAAACTATATATACATATACAAGCTATATATATATATATATGCATACACAAGAGTAGATTTTTGGAAGTAGCCTATGTTTCCCTGCAGTTTTAAAGATAGGAAGCTGAAGATGAAGGGGTGAAGGACAGTATTCAATAAGCAGGAAAAGAAACTAGGAAGCAAGGAAGGACACTCAAGTCTTCCCACTACTACCATTTACTAGCCCAGCAACTATTTGGACAACAAATGTGGACAACACCCGGCACCCTGGACGGCAGGGTGTGAGCCAAGTGATCTGTGCCTTTACAGCAGGGAAAACCCTAAGTCGTAGCAAAAGCTTTGATAAGGACGTTAAACAGTAAACACATCTCTTTTCTCTTTGGCCCCTGCCTCTTGGTCTGCAAGGTCCTTGGGTGGTGTCAGTGGTTTGCAGTCAGCTGCTACCCTAAGGCGGCCCCACAGAAGAAAGGCCTGGTGATCACAGGAAAGACAGTTCTGCTGTGGAGCTCATGGGTTTACCATGAGTCAAACTGGGCTCGGAGGCAACAAGGTTGGTTTTTGTTGTTCATGCTTTAATCTTTTTTTTTCAATCCCTTCAAGAGGAATGTTAAGCACCAACATATTCAGACTCCTAAAGAACACGATGTTGTAGAACCAGCTCTCCTACATGCCTGCCATGACAGTGGCAAAAGAGACAATGTCAGGGCAAACACTTGTTTCTCAACGCAGGGAGGCAGCGTGTGTCCTCCAACAGAGCTGTAAGGAAGGCGAAGCCTTAAAGAGAATACAAACCCACCCGAGGGGCTGTCTCAGAGGGACAATGTAGAGTCATTGATGAGAGGCTGAAGGAAAGCCTAAGTTCAGAGTGAAGTATGGCCTGCCACTAGCTGACCCTGAGGAAGATTCCTTTGTGGGCTCACAGCTAGGGGTGGATTACCCAGTAAGCATGGACTGACTGTGCTTCTTCACTAACCCTGTCTTTCTTCTGGGTGCTCTGTCTTTCTTCTGGGTGCTCTGTCCCTCTCTGGGACTGTACATTGGAAAAGAGGTTTTGATTCTGTAGGAAGGTGCTGTGGGGTTGAGGGACAGACAGCTGTCAGCAAGAGCTAGAAGCAGAATCTTTGAAGTGGTGACGAGAGTGAAAAGCACAAGGCAGACTGTGCTAGCCTTGCTTATCCAACAGTGCTCATGGCCCAGGTACACAGGAGCACTGTCACTCAACTCACTGCTCTCCGAGACTCAGCCAGCCGTTCGCTCTGCGAGAGGATGGTCTCTCAATGCTAGAAACACTCCAGAAACAAGTGCCTGATAACTTATGTCCAGCATTTACCAGCTGTGACCACATCCTAGAGGGGCCTGCCCTGGCCTGTCCCCCTCAATGACACGCAGTGAATAGCCACGAGCCTCCTGGCAGTGACCTGCCGCAGCAGCCTTCACATCAGGGCTTCAGGGTGGTTCCCCCCAGTGAGGTCATGACCAAGGAAGTGAAACTAGGA